ACATTTTCCCAAGCATTTTGATACCTTGTTAACATATTTCTGACCATTAATAACGGAGTGAGCGTCCGTTTAAGATACACGTCCGTGCGTGCGAGCTCTTGTAATACATAGCATATATGGGCAAAAACATGCCTATACAAAATCCATTGTAGCTCTTTAGGATGTGAGGTGACTCCAAATTTTGTTTTATATTTTGTAGAGTATGAATTGGAAATATGATTTCTTGTCTCATTTGACCCTCAATTAACTCATGACGTCATCATAATGGCCTCCGAACTCAAAATTCCAATTTGCATATTATGACATCAGCATATTTTTGGAAAATTGATTGTATCTCTGTAAATATTGATTGATTTTCTTCCAACTTTCGATATGTTCTAGCTGAGATAATTCACTACAAATGCAATTGACATGATTTTTCATTTCGACAAAGGAATCATGACGTATTTTTGCGATTAAAGGAGGCATGTCAATTTATCTCTTTTTGCGTGTATTCTCTATGGGACATGACTTTTTCTCAAAACTGGATTCTGCATTCCCGTCTTTCGCGAGCAATATCTTCGTCGTTTTAGCTTCGTTTACGCTGAACTTCGAGTATGTTGTAGCTGAGACAATAAGCTATCTTAAATTTGCCCTTTATTTTGTCTCAAATTTTAGTTAGACCAGCCCACCTATACTTGTTCAAAACAAGTATTACAAATCTAGTTATTATTATTATCATCAACATTGTCACCGGAGCAAGTGTCGCTTCAGGCGGAGCAAATGTCGGCGAAGCAACTGTTGGCGGAGCAATTGTCGGCGGAGCAAATGTCACCGGAGCAATTATCGCGTTTTGCGGAGCAATTGTCGGTGGAGCAATTGTCGGCGGAGCAAATGTCGGCGGAGCAACTGTCGTTCGAGGAGCATTTGTCACCGGAGCAATTGTCGCGTTTTGCGGAGCAATTGTCGGCGGAGCAATTGTCGGCAGAGCAAATGTCGGCGGAGCAACTGTCGTTCGAGGAGCATTTGTCACCGGAGCAATTGTCGCGTTTTGCGGAGCAATTGTCGGCGGAGCAATTGTCGGCGGAGCAATTGTCGGCGGAGCAAATGTCGGCGGAGCAAATGTCGGCGGAGCATATGTCGGCGGAGCAAATGTTGGCCGACCAATTGTCGGCGGAGCAAATGTCGTGGAGCAAATGTCGCGGAGCAATAGTCGCGTTTTGCGGAGTAAATGTCGCGGAGCAATCGTCGGCGGAGCTTGTGTCGGGTTACCATATTTTTTGTTGTTGATTTATATTGTAAATGTTTCTCTTTAACTTGTAAGCTTTGTTTTGTATTTTATATTGTTTGTTGTGATGTTTTTATGATGAATGAAATAAAGTTCAATTCAATTCAATTGTATTAATCATATGACTATTCAGATCCTTGATCATTGAGATTTTAGAGCTTTGAATGTTCACATCAAATGAAATTGCAAATTCTTCAACAAACAGATTTTAGTCAGAAAGTGTTAAAACTTTGTGGTGGGCTTTAAATTTCTTGGGGAAATTACCTCTTCCTGATGCACGTATAAAAATCTTACAATTATTGTTGGTCAATGTAATGCTAGGAGTCCACTGGGCCGGCGCCAGTTGGTGCCAGTTCGCGCCAAAGATTATGTGATTGGCGCGTAGTGGCTCGCTGTGGCGCCGAATTAATGTCCGCTCGGCATGTGTCGCCAAGTGGAATAAACTGGGTGCCATATGGCGTGCGCCAAATGCCACCCGGCTTGCTCCAAAATGTTGCGCCAGTTCGCGCCATTTCACGGCCATTTGATTCCAAAATTCACCCTGTTGGCGCCATTCGCGCCAATAGACGGCTACTTAGCGCCACTTGGTGATTAGTTTGTGCCAAAGGTCGCCAAATTGGTTTGAACTTGCCGCCGCTTGGCGCTACTTGCCGACTATATAAATACCGGCCATCGGCTACCTGGTTCGGACCCTCCTCAGCTGCTGTATGAACAACATCTCTACTAAATATTTACAATTTTTATATGTCTGAGGCTTTTGATAATGTTGGAGTGATGATGCTGCTCCATCAGAAGATGATGAGAGATGCTGAGGTGGCCACTGCCTATCAACTTATGCTGGCCAATCCTGAAGAAGAAGAGCCTCCTAAGAAGAAAAGGAAGCACAACTGGTGGTTTAGACCCATGCTCCACCCACAGTTGAGGGCCGAACGTGGACAGTACCACACTTTGATGGAAGAGCTGAGGGAGAATTACAGGAGGAAGTTCAAAAACTACACCAGGGTGTCCCCAGAGATGTTTGATGACCTGTTGGTCAGGTTTACACCCCACTTGCAGAAGAAGGACACCCACTTCAGGAAGGCCATTCCCCCTGGTCTCAAGTTGTCCGTCTTCCAGCGCCATCCGCCACTGGGGCCACCTATGCCGAGCTGTCTTACAACTTCCGGGTGGGCAAGGAAACCATCCAGAAGTTTGTCCCTGATGTAGCCAGAGCGATAGTGGATGAGTATGCTGCAGAAGTCATCTCCCTCCCCACAACCAATTAAGGCTGGCTTGAGGTTGCAGGTGATTTTGAAGCGAGATGGAATCTTCCTCACTGTCTGGGAGCCTATGATGGAAAGCACATCCATCTCCAGAAGCCCAACAAATCAGACAGCCTTTACTTCAACTACAAGCAGTTCTAATTCTCGGTTGTCCTGATGGCTCTGGTAGATTCAAAGTACCAGTTTATGTGGATCGATGTGGGTGGGGTTGGCCATCAGTCTGATGCCCAGATCTACAACAACAGTGAACTGAAGGAGTGCATTGAAGCTGGCACTTTAGGCATCCCAGATCCAGCTCCTCTTCCCCATGATGATGAAGAGCACCCTATGCCGTACTTCTTCGTGGGAGACGATGCCTTCGCCATGAGGACGTACATGATGAAGCCCTATGGCCGTCGTAACATGGACCAACAGCAGAAGATCTTCAACTACAGGCTGTCCAGGGCAAGGCGTGTGGTTGAAAATGCCTTTGGCATTCTGGCTCTGCGGTTCCAGTGCTTCCTTGGCCAGATGAGACAGGAACCAGATACAGTCCGCCTGCTCGTTGAAGATGCCGTCATGCTGCACAACCTCATCAGGAAGCGCTATCAGGCACTGGACGTCCGCATGTTGGACCAGGAGGATGCCCAGCACAACCTCATCCCTGGAGCTTGGAGAACTGCCGCCATCGCTGTGAGAAAGTCCTGTGTGTGTGTGTGTGTGTGTGTGTCTGTATTTGGGTTTTTACAGACGTGTATCAATCAGATATGATTATTTACGTCTGGGGACCGACTTTTAACGTCACCATCCGAAAGACGTGACTCAGTTTCGAACCTGCGTTCTCGGCTGAATCAGTTTGTAACTTCCACTTTTAGCAGGATTACAGGCGCACGCCACAACGCCTAGTTGTGGCGTCCTGCGATGCCGCCCTGCGATGGCGCCCTGCTTTTATAGGCGGCAAGTGGCGCCGAATGGCGGGCAACCAGGTGGCATTTGGCGCAAAGTAGTCACCAATCGGGTGCCGTTTGGCTCGCGTAGTGGCGCAAACAAGGTGCCCCTTGGCGCCAAGTGGCGCCATGTGGCGCGAAATCTCATTGGCGCAACTTGGCGCGCGCCATTACATTCCAGTGGATTCTAATTGGCGGATTGTTTGCGCCAAAGGGCGATATGTTCGCGCCATTTGGTGCCACTTGGCGGACACTTGGCGTTGATTGCTCGATGCAAGTGGCGCGACGAAAATTTCAAACATTTTGAAATTTTCTTGCCGCCACATTCAAATGTGGCGCCGTTACGGGCCACCACGAGCCAGTTGGGAGGCAGTTTGAGCCACTACACGCCACTAGGCACCTTATTGGCGACACTAGGCGCCAAAGTAAATTGCATTGGCGCAAACTGGCACCAACTGGCGCCGGCCCAGTGGACTCCTAGCATAAGACACAAACATATTCATGAAGTGACCTAGCATGGGTTCAGCAGGGGAAGCTGGCAATGGGCTTGGATTTTTTCTCCCCCCCCCCTTTATTTTTGGTTACAGTATTGCACAAAACGAAAAAGCTCATGAATTTCATAATTTTTTTTGCTTTAAGCTCCTGTAGTGTACATAGAACATTTACAAATAATATGTGCACTCTAAGAAAGAGAAATATGGGCAGATATCTTCAAGCAAGCTATTTTATTTCATTTTTTATGTTTATAAAAAATATTATAAAAATTACATGTACCCCTTTATATGTATAACAGTAGCTTCCTTTGATAGGGCAAAAGGAGATACTTTTCTGGAATTTGAAATGTTTGAAAATGTGATTCATTTGAGATGATTTGAAAGGTCAATGTGTGTTATTTTCAAGTGTTACTGTGATTCTCTACTTCTGTATAGTGTATGCCTTTTATTCGATTTCCACTGTTTAATGTACATGTGTATTTCAATCTGACACGAATGAAAATGATGGCTTTAATACTCATGTTCATATACTCACTTTGTTCTTTATTTCACATTATTCTTATATCAGCATTTTTAATATGGTCTACAATTTGAGTGTTCAGAGCCAGAAAGGTGTTATTTGAGTTTAACTGTACATGTGTATGACACGTAACTTCCTTCTTGCATCTAGTAGACGATTTGTTGAATTATGTTCCTAAAGCTACTGTCACAAAGGTTTGTACTATCGATGCGTTCGTACGAATCTCCCTGTTTTTCCATTGTCTGAAAATCATTCGTAGGGCGTATGTAGCAGTTCGTAATGGCATTTGTGACTGAGGCTTTACTTCATGACTATTCATATCTCCTTTTTTTCAACAAAGTGCAATGTGCATTCATTAAAATTCATAAATATATCTATGTCATTTCAAATATTGATTTTGTTGAGATTACATTTCATATATTTCTTACATTCATCTCCCATTTAGAACAAGATTCACTGTATGTGTACAGTAAAAATATAAAATCTGTATTTTTTACTTTATTCTTCTCTCATTTTACCTTTCTTTTACAGAGAGCAATGTATGTGTACACAATGTTCAAACAGTATGACGTAGACTACATGGAGAGTATTGTCAACAACAGCCAGTCGCCACCCATCTACATTCAAAAAGGAAAAAAATTGTAAGTGTAACTCTATGCTTTAATAGGATACCAGGAATGCCAGCACAGCTGTACATGCATGTAATGTGATATCAGAAAGGGGATAGGATGACCATATTGGCCCACTATTTTTAGCACCTCTGCCTTATTCTAATGATTTTTGGATATGCTTTGCCTTTGTTCCATAGCAGTCCATAGATTTCTATTTTTCCTTCAAAGCTTGAAATAAATGAACCAGTGCGAAAGGAAATTGCTAAATTTGACTAAAAAGTTGCCAGTTTTTACACGATTTTATAGTTTCAATTAAGCCGCTCTTATTCAAGATTTGCACAATTTACTGCATTGGAAACAGACCTAAAATCTTTGAGTTTTGCTTTTTCTTCACATGTATATGTATAATGTGTTATTCCTAGCATTCTGGATCAAAATATAATGTAAAAACATCACTATCAAAAAGGAGACAATGTAGCCTAGATGCTCCGATGGAGGAAAGGAAACAATGCTCTAAATATGAAGGGTTCTTTGCCGGTATTCTATGTTCAAATGTCAGCTTCATATATTACTTCTTAAACAAATAAATGTATCTCTGGTGCATGTTGGCCTCAAGCCCTGCCATGGTCATGGGTTAACTCAACTTGTACGACCATTGGTACATGTACATGTATGTACATTTCACCTGAGCCTTCTTTTTTGTTTTATTCCTTCTAAATAAACAATACACATACTTTTCCAGTGATTGTTGTACTTTCTTTTACCCTTAAAATTGGACCTTTGCCAAAGAAAGACACCCCACCCCCCCCCCCCCCTACTCTCTTGGTTGTGGGCAAAAGAAATTCATACAATATGAGAGATGACATTAAATATGCCCTAGAGTTGCTATCATCATGATCGCAAAGACTTTCAAGAAATATCATTCAGAGTGATTTCTTAGTTTAGTTATAGCGCAGTGTGTTGCCTCCGAAATTGTCAGATCCTGTCCTTTCAATGACCTCTTTTATTGAGTATGTAATTTAAAACAATATATAAGAAAGCACCACTGCTATCATTATCATGTTGCATTTAAACAGTGTATCAACTCTTTTCAGATAAGCTAGTTGTGTAATATATTTTTCTGTTGACAACACTAATTTTGTATTTTGTGTTCTGTTTTATCTGTCTCTCCTTTGCTTTCTCCTTTTCTCTCTTTCTCTCTCTTTCTCTTTTATCTGGCCCTTATTCTTTCTTTTATCTCTCCCCCGTTTCTTCAAGCATTCTCTTTCTCTCCTCATTTCCTCTATTTTCCCCTCTCTCTTCTCATCTTCTGTTCTCTTCTTTCTTTGCCTCCTTTCTCATCTCTCTGTACTGACTTCTTTCCCTTCTACAGTAAACTGAAGAAACCGCCCATACCACCAGCCAGGCTCAAGCTCTTGCATCCAGATTTCTCTCGCTATGTCTTTACAAGATACTTAGATGGCAAATCACATAGACCTACCACAGGTATGTGACTCTATGTACATGTACTTCTATGTGTTATAATGATAACAGATGCAGAAACTTTTTTAATTATGATAAAACAGAGGATTTTTAGCAAGAAAATGGCAAGTCTTATCTTTGAAAAGACATGGAATGCCATAGTATTCGAAAAGAGCGAGAAAATAGCTAGAAAATGGAGAGAAAATAGTGAGTGGATAGAACAGTTGAAATCTGATTTCAGCACGCTAGCTGTGATACATGCCTGGCACTTTTGAGGATTTCTCAGTAGTCAAGATGCATGCAAGTTTTATACTGTAAGCATGAGAGAATTACAACACATCATGTTTGCAGGCTGTTGTGAACTCTCCCTTGCATATAGTAAGCCACTTCAGAGATAGATACATGCCATTGGTGCAAAACTGTAAAAACCCATTGAGATGACTGCTGGTTAATTTTCATGAAAGTTGTGTAATCATGATTCATTTACGCATCGGTGATACATTCTTTGATACATAGGTGGAAGTATTTTTTTTAAGAGGGCAAACAAGACCTCCATCACTTTGGCAGTGATGATTCTAAAATGCATAAAAGTGGGTCCTCTCCCTCATGTAAACATCAGGATATTCATAGGTCACTTGTGCTTTGTCAGCTAGAAGTGGCTAATCCTTATGCTGTATTCAATAATTGGAAGAGGATACTATACTAGTGCAAACTTCAGACTTTTATAATGGACAACACATCCGCCCAAAGAGGGTTAGCAAGGCACTGTAATAAGCATAATAATCACAGAGTACAATTGTATGTGTTTACAATAAACATATTCATGACAAATTCCTTGTTATTACAAGTACAGTTGGGTCTGAAAATGTACATACACCTAGAGGAAAACATTTTACTCACATTTTCACAACTGCACTCATTGCGATCAGGAGTCACATGAATGTCTCAGAGTGATTAGTGATGTACTGTATATATTATACATTAAACAGACCTCTATCTTCCTGGAGTGACAAAGTGGCAGGATTGAGTGAAGTTGTGATAATGTATACCTTTGTATTGCTTTTCTACCAGGTGTATGTAATCTTACCGACCCAACTGTAGGTGTATATAAGTTTGATCTTATCTCATATACCGGTATCTACATGTAGTATGAAAACAGACTGTAAATGGCACTTGTTTAGTGATGCCCATCTACATGTACATGTACGTTGTAAAGAGCATGCTATAAAATGAATTATTCAGCGAAGAGGCTTGTGTTGCATCCAAATGTCAACCAATAAGACGCTTCAGCAGGTGCCTTGTATTAAACAGTGTAGATGTGTGATAGCAATGTACTTCATACACCTTCAAGTAGATTGAATACCATATATTAACGCTCCAATGGATCTTTCTCCACACAATTTCCTATGTTTTGCTTTCACTTCGTATATAATATGATTCACATTTACCATGCTAAATCGTGTGTCATCCTTTAATACCTTTGATATGTTGGTATAGTATTGCTATATATGCATTTTCCTTTTTATTTCTTAAAAAAATATATGATTTAACCAAGGCTGCGAGACAGATTTAGCATAAATGTACCATTCAATAATCTGTAGAAGAGGAGTATATTAGAATTCTTTTCTAGATGTTCCGTGTATACAAAGACTTTTAGAACAGGCGACATACTCTACTCTATACTCTACCTTCAGTTGTCTTTCAATTTCGTTTTTAAAAGTTAAAAATATACTGGTATGGTTTAATGGTGGCCGGTCCTGTCTAGCGGATTAAGCTTGATTCGGTTAAGACTTGTTCATATATGAATATGATGCAGGGGAAAAAAGGAAAAAGAACTGTGTGCAATAATGGTCCTGGACGCATTCACTGAGCTCTGCGTTATAAAGCAGAGAAATGTGAAGAGTATTAAATACACATTACCTCATTTTAAATATGCTGCAATTTACCACCTCCTATCTCAATAATTTCATTCCTTTTTGCCAATATATTGTTTTTCTTCGCATTTTAAGCTGATCAAATTTCAAGAAATTGTAAGATATTCTTTGATCAGTGCATGAAATGTTAGCAAATATGCAAGCTTCTCTAAATTAATATTAATTAAAAAATCTTCTTCAAAAAAGTCATCTCATGTTTTTTAATATTTTGTTCATTTGTGTATTTTTGTATAATCAGGTGCCTTAGTGGTAATGCTCGCTGTCCATGTATGCGATGAAGTAACCATCTACGGGTTCGGTTACGACCAGCGCTTCACGCTGCACTACTACGACAAGGCCTTCGTCAGCCACACCGACAAATCCACCGCTCTTCACGATATAGACAACGAGAGGGGACTCTGGAACAAACTGCACGAAGAAGGCGTTATTCGCTTCTTCAAAAGGGACTTATGACGGGAATAATGACTATAGCCTAGGCGCTCGCCCTTGAACAACTCATGAATATTTTGCCTCGTTTTATTAACACACTTGAATATGTTTTCGTTTGGATATATTTATGTACGATCAGCACATACAAATTGTTATTCACTGTGTTGACTTATTTTTGTTTTCCTAGAGTTCTATTTAAACCATCTCCTTTTGAGATTATTCAATTGTTGATATCATGTATGTTATGATAAATTGGTAGTTACATGGTGGAAAAGAATTTCCACATAAACTGTTCTGAAGTTGACTTCAATTATATAAATGTTGATATTTTGTGCAACTTATGTCTCCATTACAAAGATCAAAACACAATCTGTCAAATTACTTGAACAATGAATTGTTCAAATTACCAACAAAAAAAATTGTGTTTTTTGTTCTGTTTTACTACAGGTGATAACACAGTATAAAACTTCTTTGAAACCCTGTATCGTGATATTGTTAATAGTTAACAATATCTTTGTTAATCTAATATCACCTTGACGCACACTGAAGTAGCATGTACGTCAACATTAAAAATCAAGTAACTCATTAACACACAGCATAGATGGACATTATTTTTTATTATCTGAAAATGAATACAGTAGCACACACAACCCCAAATTAAATGATTGTCAAGGCAACATATAAAGTATCCTTTGTAGCTCATATTGCCACATCAAGCAGTAGAATTACATTTATCAAATTGTATTAATTTAATAGAATACAATATTTTGTGCCATATATAGTACTATTTTTAATCTGTACACACATTCCAATATAAAAGTTATGTACATATCTGTTGAAATTACATTGTTGGAATCTACATGCTGCTATATCTAGATCAGGTAGTTAAAGGGAAATCCAACCCAAATAGACATCTACTCTAAACGAATGCAGACACATCAGAGAAGCAAACTGATAAAAGTTTCAATTTAATCTAAGAAAGTAATATGAATCTTATAAAAGTTGTAATCACAAATTCACAATACGTTAGGGCACTTCAAATTGGCTGAAGCGGTAATGTCAATGTGATGTAGTGCCAGACTGCTTTCCCATCTGTTCCAACATATAGAATGACTAAACTCTACATTTTTCAAACAGTCATGGCTCTGAAGGGTCTTTTATTTTTAGAGGACCTATAATAATATGCTATTTATCATATATTTTTAGTAGTGCCCCAAGGAAGAAGGAACTTACGAGAAAAACATAAATTAGTGATATTTTTTTACATGGGAAATGGGAGAGTTATCCACGTCCTACGTGTATGTCACAATCCACTAACCAAATACCAATTCGAGATTCGCATAGAATTGACCTAGTAATCTCATATTCCAAACATTCATAACTTTTTTTAATTGGTCAGATTTATTTCAAACTTTTGCCATTCTGTTTCAGTTAGTTTTCTGCTTTCATACAAATCTACTTAACATTGCAGGGGTTGGATTTCCCTTTAAGGAAATATAATTGCACATATGAAGACCTGTCCAGAACACAAAATGTAGAATTGTTATTATAATTCAAGGTGCTCCAACATAGATAACGATAACATTCTGGGCCCCGTAACGCAAAGGTTTGCAATCAATTGCAAATCTGAAGCAACAATCTTGATTGGTTAATGGTCAGCCTTTTGAATAATTTGTGCATGCAACAATGATATTGATTGGCCATTGCCATTTTGTGATTGATTGCAAGTTTCTTGCTACGAGGCCCAGAAAGTGTTCTGGATGCATCATCACCTGCCACTACATTTCATTAAACTATATATTCTTTATAACCCGATATAGTTGAAATATCTTTTGTGGAATTCCTTAGTCTATCTGTCATCAAATTCATGTCTCACTGTCAGGTTTGACCAAAGCATCTGCCGTTCCACTGGTGTGCATTTGTGTATTTATTTATGCACTGGTCACAGTGGTATTAAAAGATGAGGCATTTTATGTGAATCTGGCAGATTTGTTTTTAACTTGACAAACCTGATAGGAACCATATGGAATATGAGAAGCAGTCTAGAATGATTAGGATAGCTTCAGATCATTTTTAGAATGTAAAATTGGTGCAAATTAGTTTAAATTTAGTTAAAGCATGATATGTGTAGCTATTATTAATGAGAAGAAATGATAGCTCACTTGTCATAAAATTTGACTCACTTTGTGATTTGTTTTTGCAAAAGATACTTGGTGCAAAATAAAACAAGTTATAAGCAAAGTTTGTTTGGCTTGATATAATCCACCTAAACAAGGTGCATAGCTTAATGCTATTATTGCAACTTAATCTAGTCTTCATTTTTGTGTTTTTTACACCAAATAATGCATTTGAAAGTATGTTTAGCAAACCAAAGTTAATGTGTGACATTATATAGGAGGAAATATATGAGTTATTGATTACGAAAGTTTACAAATTTCTTTAGTAAAATCTAATCCAGCTATTTTTTTGTTACATCTTTGCAAAATTCTCTCTCTGTCTCTCTCTCTTTTAAAGTGTACAAATTTCCAAAACATGTTTTGCTCCTGATGTAAGGGGTTCCATGTCGCATTACTGTGGTCGAACTATGAGCTTCAAATATTTCTTTTACAAAGAGATATTGCAGTTTAAATACACTCCCAGTGAGCTGCAATAGAATAGAGTGTGCACCAAATCCAGGCCTGACTTGGGTTCTGTGCGCGCCCCCTTTATTCAGGAGTTATGTAATCCTTTACTTGCTTCATAGTCCTTTATTGTTGATTTATAGAATGCCAGGTAGAGTTTGATGAGGTTGATTCTATGCATTCTACCTACCGTAGATACACAACTTATTTTTTGGATTGATTGTTACACTTAAACTCTTTATTTGTGTTGTCAGCCAGGCAACCTACATGTAGATGATATACTGGCAATCAATTTCTCTCAATTTGTTAAATAAAATTCTCTTTCAACATGTTTAATTATCATCAAATTTGGGGGAATGATATAAATATATTTGTAAATAGTCTTCAAGATATATGGAGAATTTAGTTAACCACTAAATATTATATTTTTTGCAATTTTCATGATTCATTACTTTTGCAACTTTTTTGAAAAAGCAAGCTTGTGCAAACAAATCACAGATTTTTGTTAATTCAGTTTTTGTCTGTGTAATAGTGTACATCATTTGCAAATGTATTTTTTATAAAACTTATTGTTGCTTTGTCTTATGTAATAATTGATTAGCAATAATGCAAAGTGTTGTAGATGATTTTGATTTTAGATAAAAGCATATTACTCCCAAGTTATTGAGATTATATGTTTAGACTGCAGTACTGGAGAAACATGTAATGCTGTTACTGTATATTCCATGCAATAAGATTTGCTTTTCTTATACCACATTCTCAATATCATATGTTGTCTGTTTTATAGAATCACACATTGTTGAATAGGATGTACATGTAGCATTTTTTTTTTTTTTTTGGGGGGGGGCATAATTTGTTCCTAAAAATGTTGGCCTTTTTTTTTCTTATTACGTTGTAAGGCATGCACTACAGAGCATACATGTATTTCTCTTTTTCACTAGTTCCATTCATAAGGCTTGTACTCAGCTGTTATATGATTAAGGGTCACTGCCTCCCAGCTGGGTATTATTTACCTTCTCTAACCATCATGGCCATCAGAAAATTATACCTTTTGCTTAAGATTTTCAGACAACGGATCCATAAGAAACATATCCACTTCACTGTTATCTTAAAGAAACCCCAAATTAGGAATTTGCAACAACAGAAAATCCCTTAGCTGGGACTTAAGACAAGTGATCCATAGAAACATATCCACTGCTGTCTTGAAGAAATCCAAGTCTGGAGTTATGCAGGAAAGCCAATTCTTGGACAGAGTTTAATAGTTGCTTGCTCGCTCTCTCTATGTATGAATTGCTGTTGAGAGCCAGAAGGGCATTAACTATGCATAAACTAATACGAGCCAATTCCCTTCTTGCACCAAACAGACGATATCATGTCTTTGGAGCCAGGAGGGCATTTCCATGTAACTCGTTCATCTTATAACAGGGTTGACGGCCATCTGGCTCTGAACAGACATTATTTGGGTGATATCATCCTTATCAAGTTGACTTTTCAATGGCTCTAAACGTCTGTCTGTCTGAGAATGCTGTCTAACTATCTTTCTTACAGCTGAGAGGTATGTCACCCTGATAGAGTTTCCCCACTCCAATATGATAAGAGAAGTTAAAGGGACTTTTATATTCATTGGCAGATTCAGGGGAAAGGGGGTATGGGGGCACTGTCCCTCCCCTGGAAAACCCAGTATGTTATACAGTAAAGTACACATTAACTAAAGCATGAAAGGGACCCCTAGGTGTCCCTCTCCCCTTCTTTGCAGAAATACAGATCCCAAAAGGTATATAAAATGTGCCTTTAATTTCACTATTTTTATTTTCTATTTTAGCTTTTCAGATAATTTTTTAGTTAAAAAGGAATCTAGAAACATGATGTCACTTTGTGCCCACAGCCACAGAACGTTATCTGAAAAGAATACTCCACACTTGATATAGAGTCAATTTAGTCAATGTTGATGCCCCAAGGAAGGATGAAAGGTGAATAGTTATGTAATGATAACATACCATATTGTTTCAAAAGGTATGAGAAATAATGCCTTTCTTAGCAAATTTTTGTTAATTGACATAAACTGTTAGCCCCATGTTCTACTAAAATTCAAATGTGACTGTGGTTTGAAGCTTAGCCTTAAAGGCCCTATCCGATGAAAATACATCTTATCTATGGAAAGCTTAATGAATATATATGTAGAATATGTATAAAGGAATAAAAAATAAATTCCCTTTCAGTTTTGCACAAAATCAAATTGATATCACATTTTCCGCACATCTCCAAATTATGGGTTTAATAACAGTGGTCACATTTGCTCTAGTTATGGAGACAACATAACATGTGGACCTGATTTGCTCGCCTATATTACTGAGGCAATAAGCCACCTTAATTAATGCAAAGACATTTTGAATAATTATGTGTAATTCACATAAGATGATGTCATCAAATTGATAGCAAGTTTTTAGGTCGACAACTTCTGATTTTCAAAGCTTTTGATTTCGAATTTTTAGAGGGCTATTACTCCCTTGACAAACACTAAAAAAGCATGTTACTGATATTATTGTAATGTTTGGCTCATAAGCTTTCCATTGATGTAAAATTTATCTAATTTGTTTTTCACTTCCGACAGGGTCTTTAAGTTCAGTTTATCTAAGGAAGTTACATCCAGGTCTAATCTAGCCTTTTTTTTTCTTCCTTTGTTTAAAGAGAGGGTTGAGTTCTGGGAAGGTTGAGTTCTGGGAAGAGGTGAAAAATAATTTTTGAGCGTTATCATTCTTATTATGCAAGTGTGGAAGAACATCAGATAAGACATGTTCCCTGAAAAGCATGGCTCTTAAATGCCTTCATATTCCAAATATGTCATGTAACATCGTAAAACTTGGGGGTAGGATTTTTACGCCACGTGTTCGTGTAGTCCCATATACATCTTTTTGTGTGCAGTGTTTGTAACTTTACCAAGACTTGGCCAAATTTCTTATCATTTTGATGATTCCAGAACCTTGCAATACACACAAATTCTTATATGCTAGATGATCAACCTTTTCTGGTCGATTCCACACCGTTTCTTTCACAATGCAATCGCATGACCAGAACTCAACTTCATCTTTAACCTGACTTAAATTGCAATACGCATGTGGGGTTTTACTTAATGAGTAATATACAGGTCTTGTTCTTTTGCTTGCTGTTTGTTTTGAGTGTAGTATTGCCATAGATTGGCGGAAGAAAATTAGCTTTAATGAATTTTATCTTGCTCCTGCATTTTCTGTTTCTTGAGTCAAAGAATACTCAGATATTTCTTACTAGTCATTGTATTTGAAATATGTACATAGTGTATTTCCATTTTTTCAGAATGTGAGGATAAAATATTCAAGTTTTTGCTCTATAATGAATAGCCTAGTATCTGCTGCAAATATTTTGTTAATAGCTCCCATTGTGTACACTATTTTCTTCTATTGTTTTAAAACTTATGATTAATATTTTGTTAAATCAATTTTTGCATAAAGGGAGTGTGCACATTCAAAAATTAAAAACTAAAGTTTTAACATTTAAAACTGAGTCTCCCAATAGTGATGGGAAAGAGAGTAATAGTTTAGAATCACTAAATATTCTTAGTGTCTTGTTTTCCTTTCAAACTGAATCAGTAAACGTGAGCTCTATATATGTTATTAAATGTTACTAAACATTTGAGTGTATTTCAGACTACATTCACAATGATATTTAGAACATAATGATCAGAATATGATGTTGCAAATTTGCCATATAGTGCACTATTGCCCAAATCATAAAAATAAAAGTATCAAATTAACATTATTTTTTCCCCCTTAATTTTATTTGGTTATATCTGAATTCTTCCTTTCCCCCAGTATGTGTTGTTAATCACATGTTATTATTCATGTCCATTTAGATTTTAATATATTTCATTCATAGCAATATCAAAGACAAGAATTGCTTTGAACCTGACAGTAATCTTGGTATATCGCATGTGAAATGCCCGATTAGCTTAAGCCTGATCACAAAAACTTTCAAATACCATCATACACGAATTTCACTAGCTTGGCTAACACCTATTGTAATGTGTGAATAGTACAATAATATATGTATAGTACATGATAGGAACACAATTTCTATATGCAATACAGTAGGATAATGAAATGGTCTTAACTTTTTTATTTTTGGTTTTGTTTGTTTTGTTTTCTTGATCTTCTACATATTAATGTATAATGTAATGATGTTGTATTCTTTGTGCATTTAGGTAATCATCGCAGGTTCCACAGTGTTATAAAAAGTCAAACGGTTCCCACAAATTATATATTTGATTAATTTTGTCTAATTGTTTTTATGCAACTCAAATCAAATCATATCCCAAAACTTCGCTTTAGAACTTCTACTTACATTAGTCTTGTATATGATTGGATTATTTTGTGCATTTGGATCTAGAAGGGCATTAGCTCAATCCTATTCTTTAACACAGATAGAATGCCCTTCTGGTTCTGAACAGATGATTTATTCACTAAATACCACATTGAAATCGGGATTTTGAATCCTTGACCGTTGGACCCGCCCGTAGAGTATAAAACACGCTTGCTAACATTAGATTTTATCACCTGACGAAGTGTTGCAGCGGCGCACGAAACCTCGTGATCTTTTAGAAACCTTGTTGCGGACCATACATTGCGAGACAAATGAATATCACTAGCGATATTATTTTCGATACTTCATCCACAATGAGTAATATATTTAGCAACCTACATATAGTTGCGCAATAGGGAGAAATGATGAAATTAGATTAATTTGAGATATTGTGAAAAGTACTTTCTGTAGACATTCCATGTCTAGTACTTTCTTTTATACACAAGTGTTGTAATATGTATAAAATGTTATTGAAGTTGTGAACAAAATATAGAATATTGTGATTTAGGCAATTTTCAAATGAAATGCACATCATTGCTTCTATTGCCATATATTATGTGACATTTGTAATTTTGAATTTTCTTATTCTTTAGTTGGGCAATGTTGTCCTTACTTCATGTTTCAAATGTTTCAACAGCCCTTACTTATTCTTATTGCTTTCTGTTAGCTGCTTCTTGTCAATGATTGTTTCTATGGTTAATATCTGAAGAGCCACTTTTCATCTTCAACATTTTATAAATTACCGCTCTTTTATGTTTCAATCATTTTATATTCAATGATTCTTTTTCTTTAAATTGCTGTGTCAAGCCAGCCAAAAACACCTTTTTTTCTGAAACTTGTTGAATTCAGTTAAATTTGTTTGTTTGTGTACCGGGTATTACCGGTATTTCTACAATGTATGCCACATTCTTAGGTTGGGTAAATACTGTGTAACTAATATTATTTTAAAGGCTAATTGCCAGAAATTCTGAGTTATCTTTAATTATAAAAACACGGTCTTTGCGTGCACAATCTGAGAACTATAATATGTGTGTAGCAAGTGCTGTACAAATGAATACTGAAATGTACCTATAGCTTTATGTGTTTTAATTGTGACATACATTTTTGTAAAATTGTTGATTGTTGTACACAAAAAATTATGTGCATTTATAATTATTTTTGCGAAAACATTATCTCTACACCATTGCTAATAAAGCATTTCCAAACACAATTCCAGAATTTCTTCTTGTGATTTGTCCATTTGTGTAGGCATGTCCTTTATCATGCATTTGTTGTAGATGTGCTTTTTCATTTTTAAAGGATTTTGTTCAACAAAATAAAACAAAATAAAGGTAAGGTGCAAGTTGTTGACAGGTTTAAATTTTAAGGGAA